ACTCAACTTCAACAATCGCGCTAAACAAACGCTAAAACAACGAACGAGCCCAATAATACTTCAGACTGCAGATCAATTACTCACTATCTACACACACACTACTCTCCCGCGTCACGTTGTCCCATCTTATATATATACCAGCCTACCCTATCTAGCAAATACTAGAGCATTCCTGAAAGAACAAGATAGTTCTAGAAACTAGAGGGCGCCACACCAGTCACGTGACCTCGATGACGCAACAAAAATTTCATAACTGAAATTGAATCTAACTTGAAAAAATTAAATGATGAAAAAGTGCATATTATTAGAAGTGAGTGTTGTACTTGATTAAATAATTTTAAGCTGAAAAATAATAATAAAAAGGACTTTGAAATTTTGAAACATTTAAAGGAACAAGATGTTGTCCTTTTCAAGGCTGATTAAAAAGGACAAACTGTAATCAATGAAAATGATGACGATTCTAATGATGAAGAAATTTTGAAAGAAGGTCCGTATGAGAACATTAAACTTAATCCTATAAATAAACTTCATACAATAGTTAAAGAAAAAATTAAGAGTTGTACAAGTCTAAAACCTTACGAAAAGCAAAGTTTAACTCCAAGTAACTTTATTTTACCTATGCCTTGCTTAAAGTTCATAAGATTGGTAAATTTCAGGCCTATAGTATCCAATATTAAGAGTTCAACTTATAATGTAGCAAATTTTATGTCTAAAAAAATTATCATTTTTAAGGGATGAAAATAAATACACAGTTAGAAATTCGTTTGAATTTGTGGAAAGAATTGAGGATATAATTTTAGATCAAAAATATATTTTGGTGTCATTTGATGTTGTGTCAATGTTCACCAAAGTACATGTGAAAGAAAATAATAATTCAGTCTTAGAAATAATGGATATATATAATTAACCTGGTAGAAATATGTGTTGAAAACTCATTTTCCCCAATTAATAGCAAAGTTTATAAACAGAACGAAGATTCTCCTTTATCTCCATTATTGTGTGATTTATTTATGGACAGTTTTGAAAATGAAACACGAGAAAAAACAGATAAAAAACCTGAAGTTTGGTTAAGGTATGTCGATGACATATTTTTGATTTGGCAGTATAGTAAAGATGAAAACTAGCTAATTTTGCTAATTAACTTAATAACATTGATAATTCTATAAGATTTAATTGAGACAAATAGTTGTTTACCCTTTTTTGGATGTTTTAGTGAGTAAAAATAAGTATAAATTGGAAATTACCATTTATCGTAAACCTTTCTCTGTAATCATTCCCCCACATCAACAATCTTGTTACACTACATCTAAAAAACCTGTGTTTTTTACTATTATGTGGATAGGATATTAAAATTATGTTGTAAACAGGAAGCAACACCTAATGTTAGTGTACATAAGCAACACCAAATGTTAGTGTACGTAAGCAACACCAAATGTTAGTGTATGTATGCAACACCTAATGTTGGCGTACAGGAGCAAAACCTGATGTTAGCATGAAGATGCAGCACCTAAAGTTAACGTAAAGAAAGGACACCTAGTGTTAATGTAAGTAAGTAAAACCTAATGTTAGCATGAAGATGCAGCACCTAAAGTTAACGTAAAGAAAGGACACCTAGTGTTAATGTAAGTAAGTAAAACCTAATGTTAACGGCCCGAAATAACACCTAATGTTAGTGTAAAGAAACAACATCTAATGTTAGTGTCAAGAAGCAATATCTAATGTTAGTGTAAATAAGCAACATCTAATTTTAGTGTAAAGAAGCAATACCTAATGTTAGTGTACATAAGCAACACCAAATGTTAGTGTATGTAAGCAACACCAAATGTTAGTGTATGTAAGCAACACCAAATGTTAGTGTACGTATGCAACACCTAATGTTGGCGTACAGGAGCAAAACCTGATGTTAGCATGAAGATGCAGCACCTAAAGTTAATGTAAAGAAAGGACACCTAGTGTTAATGTAAATAAGTAAAACCTAATGTTAACGTCACGAAATAACACCTAATGTTAGTGTACAAAAGCAGTATCTAATGTTAGTGTACAAAAGCAGTATCTAATGTTAGTGTAAAGAAACAATATCTAATGATAGTGTAAAGAAACAACATCTAATATTAGTGTAAAGAAACAGCATCTAATGGTAGTGTAAAGAAACAACATCTAATATTAGTGTAAAGAAGCGACATCTAATGTTAGTGTAAAGAAACAACATCTAATGCTAGTGTAAAGAAACAATATCTAATGTTAGTGTCAAGAAACAGCATCTAATGTTAGTGTAAAGAAACAACATCTAATATTAGTGTAAAGAAGCTACATCTAATGTTAGTGTAAATAAGCAACATCTAATGCTAGTGTAAAGAAACAGCATCTAATGTTAGTGTAAAGAAGCAACATCTAATGTTAGTGTAAAGAAGCAACATCTAATGCTAGTGTAAAGAAGCAACATCTAATGTTAGTGTCAAGAAACAATATCTAATGTTAGTGTAAAGAAACAGCATCTAATGTTAGTGTAAAGAAGCAACATCTAATGCTACTGTAAAGAAGCAACATCTAATGTTAGTGTAAAGATACAATATTTCATGTTAGTGTAAAGAAACAGCATCTAATGTTAGTGTAAAGAAGCAACATCTAATGTTAGTGTAAAGATACAATA